AGAAACCCAGAACCCCTTGGGGGACAAATCCTACTTGCCTTATTCAGATGAGTAGTACCACTGACTTCAGGGCATGATTCAAGGTAAGTAAGAATTGGATCTCCAGCAATTATCACTTAGGGTACGTCTACACTACCTGCCGGATCAGCGGGTAGTGATCTATCTATCGGGGATCGATTTATTGAGTCTAGTGTAGACGCGGATAAATGGATCCCTGATCGCTCTGCCGTTGACTCCGGAACTCCACCATGGCAAGAGGCGGAAGCGGAGTCGATGGGGGAGCAGCGGCCATCGATCCCGCACCGCGAGGATGCGAAATAAGTGATTCTATGTTGATCTAAGATACGTCGACTTCAGCTACGCTATTCTCGTAGCTGAATTTGCGTATCTTAGATCGATCCTCCCCCCCCGCAGTGTAGACCAGGCCTTAGTTATATCACTAATTTTATCCACTAGTTCTTTTTGTAAAACCACTAGGTGTCAGACTATACTTGTACTAAATTGCTGTGGCCAGCCGTTTCAAACCAAAATATAGATCCTGGCGTGAGATTTTGGGGTACACTGCAAGTCAAGGTGTGGTTGTAGCACAGGTAGCTGATATGTGTAAAAGATTATATGAAGCATAAGAAAACTGTAGTGTAACTATAATATACTGAGCAAGGATTTGTGTTTTCAAATGGTATCCTCAATCCATATTATAGCTACTTAAATAAATGGCCTGATTTTCAAAATTGTTGAGTATCTGAAGACTTCCCTTGACTCAGGTGGGAACTGCTGAATGCAAAGTGCAGTGTGTGTTTCTCTGGGATGCTTATAGTTCCAGATATCTAGAAAGCTCAGTACACAAGGCCACAGCCCCTTTCAATCTCAAACACTCCAAATTAATCAGTAACTTTTACCTTCATGCCTGAGGAAGTGTCATTCACCATTAAATTACACCATATATCACTACCACAATTATTTCGCTAAAAGTCAGCCTGTGTTTCAGTCTCTCTGAATAGAGAGTTTCACAAACATGGATAAGAGCAGGAAGACTAGTAGTTGAATATCTGGATAAGGTATTGGCTGATAGTGAAAAGGGAGCCCCTGAAGACCTGCTATTTTCCTATAAGGGAATTTTGTGCCCTGCTGCTTTTTGCAACCAGGAAACGTTGCAAGTTCTTGATTCTTTTGAAGCCAGGAGTGACGATGTGATCCTAGCGGCATACCCTAAAAATGGTGACTATTGCTAGCTTGTTACAAAAACTAAATGTGAAATGTTATACAGTAGTTATGAATGATTAGGCAGTATTTAATGCAATGATTATACATGGCTGCAGTTTATAGTAAATACTGTCCATCATAAAGATATTGTATTAGGGATTGTTCAGATGAATAAGGTGAGAAGAATAATTTCAGCCATTAATAACTGTCAATTTCTTTCTTCTGCCTTTGACTATTTACATTTTAAGTAACTATATATGTTCAGTGTTTATCAGTTTAGAGAAAATATTCTTGTGTCTCATTGTAGATCTGATTCAATGCAGACGACAAACCTTTACTAATATTTTGCATTGTGATGATGAATGAGCTGAGAAGAAGACAGCTTGACTGACTTTGAAGGGCTGGTGGTTCGAAAAACAATTCCTTCACTTATTAATTCAGCAAGTCTCACATGGAAAAATTGGATCAAATTCTGCTGTCAGTTGCACTGCTGTAAATTTGCAAACACTCAATTGAAGCCAATGGAATGATTCCAAATTTACACAACTGAGATGTGAGAAAAAGCACAATGTGACTCAGAGATATGAGGGTATCCAGATTTCACATAACTGTGATCACAAGTGTTTCTGTCCATTTCCTCCAAATTGATTTCTTCTTTTTAGAAGCCATTATTGTATATTTGGCTTTTGGTCAAGCTAGTGCTAATGGCTTACCCTGGATTGGCAAGTAGGAGCCTAGTCAGTGACAATGGTGGTGCCTGCATTTATCTGTGACATGAATTCACCCAGAGAACATGGTTTTTAATTTAGTGAATTATAACGTAATGGTTTGTCATAAAGAACTATGAGCTTCACAAACAGGACTGTTCCTGTTTGTTGACAGATTACTTGGCCCAATTATATGACACTTCTGTTCACTCATAGCTTGTGTCATATACAACAGGAAAATATTCCTGTATCAAAGTAAGATTTCAGATTAGTTAGCTACTATCCATGAATGTTAATGTTTTTTTCTTGCACAGTAATTGATATCATACACAGGTATTTGCAACTAAATACATTCAACACTTGTTGTGACAATTTTCACTTCCATAGTCTTTAAACCAGTTTCTCTTTTGTTTCAGGTACTAACTGGCTTGATCAAGTCCTACATGACTTGGAAATTACAGCTGCAAAATATACAGAGGAGGAAATTAATGAGAGAATTAATATTACAAATGAATTATCTGTATTTCCACTTCTAGAATTTGGGGATCCAGAGAAATTTAAGGTCAGCATAGGATGATATTAGAAATGTTAATATGAACTGTTTGACATATTTAAGAATTGATAAAATGTAATGACTGAATTTTACAGACTATGGAGAACTCTTACTTCCCCCAAGGTGTGATCAGGTCAGCACAATCAGGGTGCAGTGCATTTGCTTAGCCAGTCCATGACTGGAAACCATGGAAGTTCAGACAAGGGGTGGAGAATTCATGAAAATGACCTCCACACCACTGGGTTTCCTTAAATCCTGATCTGTCGCTCTCCCTCTCTTTTGCCCTACTACTGTCCCCATAGAGCTGACTATGTGGAGAGGAGGGATTTGAGACCCTCCACTCCAAAACAAGCAATTGTGAATGGGACTAGGAGTTTAGGGGAGTTTCTGTTACCCCCTCTCCATTTAATTTTACATGATAGGAAAATGGCCTAGTAGTCTTTGACCTAGGAGTCTCCCATTCTGGTTGCTAACAGCTCCTTTTTAAATTCTCAGTCAGTTCCAGGGTTGATTTTCTGCATCACGGTTTCCCAGGATTTCACTCAGCTGGAGAGATCCCTCCCCTTATTTCAGAGTTACTGGGGGAGGCAATGGGAGAGCACTCAGACTCTGCCTTTGGAGAAAAAGATAGTAGGGAATAGTTCTATGGCTGCTGCCCTTGAGGGTCTTCCCCTTTCAATCTCTTCACTGTTCCGCAGATCTAGATGGGCCATAGAGCTGTTGAAGCGCTCCACACTCACAGAGAGGCAAGATCAAGATTTGGTATTGCATTCATCTATTGCAGGAAAAGGACATTAGATAACCCTGAATGGTGTTAGGGCCAAAACTGAGAGCAGACTGAGGGGGTAAACACAGCAGGGTGCTAACCCTAGGCCCATGCACAGCTCTCCCACAGAAGACAGCAGTAGTAATCTGCCCAAGAGTGAGGGCGGGGAGGGGTGTGAAGGGAACACTGATCCTTTTGGGGACACATATGGTGAAACTGAGGGACCATATCAACTATCTGGGTGGACCTGCCCCTGAACCCCTTCCTGCTTCTGCGTATCTACTGCTGGCAGCGGCGAAAAAAAAAAAAAAAAGCCGCGATTGAAAAAAGCCACAATGGGCAGCAGCTCTACTACTGCCACTTCATTCTTCGGTGGCAATTGGGCCTTACCTCTGGGATCAAGGAACTCGCTGCGGAATTGCTGCCGAAGAGCCGGACATGCTGCCCCTTTCCGTTGGCCGCCCCAAGCACCTGATTACTGCGCTGTTGCCTGGAGCCGCCCCTGCTTGGCAACATGACCAGTCCATAAATCTGGTGGGAAGCCAGAACTGCAGCAGAGATATTTGGATCTATGCTTTCTCTCGTTCTGTGGATTTTCTGAGGTGTCAATGGGCAAAAACGCCCAAACATTAGGGATACATGTGCAGGTCAATGAGTAAATAAAAAGGGATAGTCGGAGCATGAATGAATAACAATTACTGGACAAATATTACTTCCCATGTCATAGGGAGAAGTTTCATTCACTGTCAAATATAGAGATCAACAGGAGCAAAAATTCAAGAGATAAGTGATTAATCCTAGATGAACAACCTCTAACACCAGTACAAAGCTCACGGAATCTGCAGCTGCTGAACAGTCGATTGATATGTCCTATACGCTCCCTGTAGACAGAATTTGTGTGTGCTTTTATTTTATCATTTCTGCAAGTAACTGATTTTATTGCCTGAGAAAGGGGTCATATCGATGACTTCATCTTATAGGGCCCTCTGTTTGGCCCAAAAAGCTCTCATAACACAAGCAATGCAAACATCTTCACCCTGTCCTGTCAATGCATCTCAAACCCTGACCTAGAAGGCTCTGCTCCAGTAGCAGGGACATCATCCTGTCTCCAGGTCCATTAGATGCTCATTCAGATTAATCGGAATTGTTTTGAAAAATCCACTTCTTTCCCCCTTCGACTTTCCCATTTCCCATATTCCATCCTTCTCCACCTTTCCTTCTCTCATCCATCCAAAACACTCCCAACATCAGCTCACTAGTCTTCAAGTAATGCTCCTCCTCCCACTGCCACATTGTCTCTCCTTTATCGGAAAGTGGTAGCATGGGAAGTCTGTGATGGAGCCAGAAAGGGAAGAACCCAGGTCTTCGGACTACCAGTACTATGCTTTAGCCACCCCTTGCATTTCACTTTATCAAACTGAAAAAAAAATTGTTTTGATTCAAGATTTAGGTTGTTTTTACTCTGTCTGAACTGGATTTCCCATCTCTAAGGACAATTAGACAGAGCTGTGCGTGGGCCCTACCAAATTCACGGCCATGAAAAACCTGTCTTGGACCGTGAAATCTGGTCTCCCCCCATTAAATCTGGTCTTTTGTGTGCTTTTACCCTATATTATACAGATTTCACGGTGGAGACCAGCGTTTCTCAAATTGGGGGTCCTGACCCAAAAGGGAGTTGCGGTGGTGTGTGTGTGTGTTTCCAAGGTTATTTTAGGGGGGTTGCGCTTACTTCTGCACTGCCTTCAGAGCTGGGTGGCCAGACAGTGGTGGCTGTTGGCC